AGGGTTCTGACTTTATAATGGAAATTATGATGAATAGTATGTAGTAATTAGGTTGGTGTAATGTTGATGTGCGCATGTTGTTGTGGTTGGTTCTGAAATTGTCTGTTATCATGTTGTTATCATGTTGTGGATGTTCTGAAATTATAATATTGATGATATAGTTGTTGTGTTGCTATGTCGATGTAATACTGCATTGTATCATGTTGTTATGAGAATACTATTTATCTAAGGAATATTTGGAGAATTCTGTGTTTAAATTAGTAAGCATGTGATGCGTGAGAAACACTCTGTGCCGAGGGGCACACGAGCATGCCGACCGACACCATGTATGCAGAAGAGTGTGCCGAGCAGCACAACTTCATGATGAGTGGCATGGTCTTTTAGTTTTGTGGCGAGGGGCACAGTTGGGTGACGAGGGGCACACCCATGAACCTCTATTTTCTTTTGTTTGTTTTGTCTGTTTCTTGTGTCTGTTACTTTATTAATGGGTTACTAATTGTTATCTCAGAGTTAATGAATTATGGGTAGCAGAGATTAATTAATCAATACTTCTTATGGTTTTAGCATATTAATCTACAGAAGAAGAATTATATATATATATATATATATATATATATATATATATATATATATATATATATATATATATATATATATATATATATATATATATATATATATATATATATATATATATATATATATATATATATATATATATATATATATATATATATATATATATATATATATAACCGTTATTAAATTAGTTGCAGAATTGTTATGTAGCAGAGTTAGCAAAAGTAAATAATAGCAGAGACTATTTGTCAAGTAAACAAATTGTAGATTAGCATATATAACAGGTAGGATTAATAGATGACAGAGTCAATATGCTTTAGTAGGGACAATTATTAAGTTGTTGTGATGATGTTGTTGTTAATTGTTGAAGTTGCAGGTAGTGTTGAATTTTATTGTGTTTCCTGTATTGATTGGCTAAAACCAAGTTGTAGGCTATTAACAGTAAAACAATAGCAGAGATAATTCCTGGTAGTAGGAGATAATTCATAGTAGTAGGATGTTATTGCAGGAACCTTATTGAAAAACTATTAACAGTATAATAGCATAGTGCGTGTAGAAGGAATAAGTTGACAGTAGGAGTTAATTGTGAAATAGTAACAGAAAACGATTATCAATAAAACAACAGTAGAGAATTAATTAGTAGCACTAGCAGTAGTAGAAATTTTTGATAGCAATACTAGCTTATATAATAGTTGCACCAGGTTAATATTAGAGGAACCGTCGTAGAACATCTAATAACCGAATATAGACGTATAACTAAATAATTATGTAGTGTTATTGCAATGGGTTTCGATTGTATTTGTGAATTTTACTATGTTGTTGTAATGTCAATATTGTTGACGATGCAAAGTTGCAGGATTTACTAATTTTGTTGAAATGCCTCTAATTCTTGGAAGATAAGTTGTAGGCTTGTGGTCAGTGTTAAATTATGGTTGAGTTGTTGTTGAATTGTTGTTGTTGTTGTTAAGTTGTTGTTGAATGGCTGTTGTTGTAGTTGTTGTTGTTACTACGTTCATACTATTGTCACATACATAGCATATCAAGTTGGAAGCTCATGCTCGGTAAGTTGGCCTGGATTGGAAGATATAAAGTTGGAGGCTTATGCCTTGTTGATGCCTCTATTAATTGGCATATTATTAAGTTGAGAGTTTTTCTCCATTGGTACCACATGCATGTGCATAAAAACAAGTCGAATTTCATGTTATATCCTGAGTTGTTGTATGGGTGACCTGATTATGTTAAATTTTGTTAAAGAGCTGCAAAGTGGTGATTTTTTATGAACTGCTTCTAATATATTATTTATTATGCGTCCTAATATATTATTTGATATCTCACCCATTTTGTTGGAATGTTACCCCTATGTTGGTAACGTGCAGTTAACCCTGAGTGAAGGTTGTTTACCTTCAATAGTTTGAGTCGGTGTTGTCGCTCTGATACGTAACACTCGGGGGGTGAACGCTTGTTGCTTTATTGTTAATTTTATTTCTGTTGCTGAATTTTAAGTTGTTTTCATTAAGTACTTGTTGTTTTGGAGTTGTTTTCAGTTGGAAAAAGATGTTATGTCATTTGAATTGAAAATTGTGATTCCGCTGCTTAATTATAAAATTTATTTTAATCTAAAGACTAAATCATGTGGTTAGAGGTTCATCCGAGTTTAAGTGTTATGTAATCGTTTTACATGCGATTAAGTGTCGTTGTTTCCAAGTTAAAAGTGTAGCATTCTATTTTTTGTTGGAAATTTTGTAACTCTGATTTTATATAATTTCTTTGGGTAGAAATGGGGTGTTACATCGATGGTATCAGAGCAGGTTGGTCCATCCGACCAAGTTGTAGACTCAGTAGAGTAGTATGACAGTTGAATATTGTTGATGTGTTGTTTCTTAGTACATGACATGTGTGCGACACACTGTCGATACTTGTTTTCTTTTCCAATCGATTGTATGTAGGAGTTGGTTTAAAGATAAGTGGGGGAGAATATTTGCTTCTCGAATATGTTTCGGTTGTAAGATGTTAGTTTAGTGTGTTGTTGATGGTGATAATGCAAGTATTGTTGAAGTTTTATTGTTTCCCAAATTCGAAGGTGACATGGATTCAAGATTTTTTTTTCTAATCAAGTTGGAGCGTCTTGAGGGAGGATGATCAGACATTGTTGATGTTTAATTCTCAAAGTATGAGGAGCAATGTAATGGTTGTCGATATACGAGTAGAGTGTAAATCAATAATGTTTTTGAAGGTGATTGTTAAGTAACAAGGATAATTTTTAAAAGACGGAATTTAGAAAGTTGTGATGTTTCAACGCTGCTGGTGAACTGTGAAATATCCGGTTTGGGTAGCCCTTGCGTAAGATGTCGATGTTTGAACATTGATAGAGTGACAGATTGTTGTAGACCTTATCGTGGGATCCTTGTAAGTGATTGTAAAAGTTGTTGAAGTTGTTGGAATGTTTTGAATCGTGAGTTGGAGTCGAAAATGCAAGGAGATGAGTACGATTTCAAGAATGGTAAGTGTTGGTACTGGTATAAAGAAATTTGTTATAATGTTATTGTAAGGTGTGTAATAGTATGTTGCTGCATGACGTCGGTGTTCGCATTTCGGATAACTTCAGAAAATTCATATCTTGTGTTCTAGGTATCGGTTGAATGTTCCGTTTGAACCTATGAAGAGATATAAATATATTCTATCCTATGAAAGTGTTTTCAAATATGCTAGATGCATTTCTATATGGCTGGACTCTGAAGCCGATTACAGAACTAGAGGCTTTTTAGGCATAAATGGTTATTATTGCAGTTTTTCGAGACAAGGTCAAGCATAATATATTGTTGGCGAATAAGTTGAGAAATGAGATGTTCAACATTAAAAAGGATGTGCAAGTATTGGAGAAATGCATAGAGATTCAACTTATGATGATTAACAATGATTATAATAAAGACGTCCTTTTAAAGGAAGATGCTTTTAAGAGGAACTATAGTCGTGTTTATGATGCCAAAGTAGTGGTGTGTGTAAAAGAAAAATTGGGGAGGTTCTATCACCAAAACAGTATGGAACAACATTGTTGAGATTTGAATTGGGACGAGACGATGTGTAATGTAGTGGTATAGTAGTAATTCTTGAGTTTGAGAATACTTAACCTTCGTGTGAGGCTAAGTGAGTGTAATGTGGACCATGTAATATGTTGAGCAAACAAATTGCAAGGGAACATACTTTTGGTTAGGTGGTTATTATCAAAAACAAACAAAATGCCTTGATCATTTTCATGCTTCATACACATCAATAAAAATGCAAGATTTTTTTTTATAAATCAGCAATTCATTAATATCAAACTCAAACTGTCAATATAAAGAAGTTCTATACATAACCAAATAAACTATAGGTTGTTACACAAATTTCTATCAACAATACTAATTCTATTAGTGTTTATACTAGTAATTCTATTAGTGTCTTCACATCATTAACAATTTTGTTAAAGCATATGTCAGGCGAAAGGAGCTTATTGTTCGATAGAACATCATTCCTGACATTCCTAAGTGAAAAACCAGAGTTTCTACAGTAGTCGCATAAAACTTGCTCCTAAACTTCTTAGCTTTTCCTTTACTCAGCCATGTTACAGTAAGATGCAAATCCTTTGCCATGATATTCCAGTCTAGCCAAATTTTAGCTTTGTTCCAGCACTTCCTGCTAAAGTGACAGTCAAAGAATAAATGGGATAGAGATTCCTCTTGCTCACCAAAGATCAGGAAGCTACTACTATATACCACTCCCATATTCTTCAGTCTTACTCTAGTTTTTAATCTGTGTTGTATAGCCAGCCAAGTTATAAAACTGTGCATTGGCATAGTCAGGGAATTCCAAGTGGTGCTCATCCAGTACACTTTATCATTCTCCTCATCAAACAGCTTAGTGATTTTTCTAATTTTATAATCAGAGTTGATAAAGTATTCTTGTCAATTTTACCTTTTATTTTATCCTTTGCCTCAACTACCTTCTTCCAATACTAGCTATGTTGTTGAGGGCTCTTATATTCACACCAGTCCTCACCCTTGAGATACACATGATGAATCCATTGCATCCATAATTTCTCTTTATTATTGGAAATACTCCAAGCATGTCTGCCAATATCAGCAGTATTCCAGTGAATACAGTTCTTGAAGCCTAGACCCCCTGTATGCTTTGGCTTACACAAGTTATCCCATGCTATGTTGCCTGCAGTTACTGAAGCAGCTTTGCCAATCCACAGGAAGGCTCTACAGATCATGGTGATGTACTTTTTAACATTCTTAGGGATGATGGTTATTTGACTCAAATAGGAGTAAATGGTTAAGAGAATGAAGTTGATTAAAACCACCTTTCCAATAAAAGATAGGTGTCTGGAACTCCAAATTCTGATTATGCTAGTAATCTTATCCACCAAAATCTGGATATCTTTAGCTGATATCCTTTAGAGTTGATAGGCATGCCAAGGTATTTGAAATGGAGACTACTCTTAAGAAGTCAGTTTCCTTCATGCCACTCCAATATATTTCAGATTTATTCTTGTTGGGATATAGACCAGAAGTTTTAGAAAAAAGAAGCATATCTAACAACATAAGATAACTTGACTGATAGTCTCCATGGAAGAAGAGGAGGACATCATCAGCAAAACTAAGATGGTTCAAATTGAGGATCTTACAATTCTCATGAAATCTAAATTTGTCCAGGGATCCCACTTTCTTCATGCTTCTTGAAAGATACTTCACTCCCATCACAAAGAGCAAGGGAGACATGGGGTCTCCTTGCCTCAAACCTCTTTTAGCACACAAATCTTATCATATAGTTCATAGTTTAACCACTTTATTATCCAACCTCTAGAAACATACTTAAAAGCAATCAATCATTCCTCTCCTTTACTTGAATACAACCAAACATCATGACATGAATGCTCCCACTTTATAAGGTAAGGAAAAAATTCAAACCACAATATATGGTTGAAGGTTTAAGTGCAAAGAAACATTAGAATCCATGATGAACTACTTAATCATGCATAAGTTCATAGTTCAACACCAAGATAGATCCTAACAAAAAGGCTAAAAGAGGTTAACAAATGCTCGCTCACTCACAAGGGAAGTTACTTTTGGTTAGGTGGTTATGCTCAAAATCAAACAAAATGTCTTGATCATTTTCATGCTTTATACACATCAAAACAAATAAAAGATTTAACACAATAAAATAGAGTTAAAACAAGAATGTTGGTTTCCTGCATATAGTAAACAACGGAAAGCTTCCTCACATTAAGGTTTTGTTCTAAAGTGATTCAAAAATGAACAAGTAGTGTAAAAGAATAAATGACATGATATTTGTACAAATTACAAGTTTCATAATCATGTTATATTATAGAAAGCATAAAACATGTACCTTGCAAATATACCAAGTTCAAACACTATCATTACCACAAATTTGCATGTTGAAACTATCAAACTTAAAACAATTACTCCATTCTTCTTCAGACTATTAGACTAATATTTGAAGACAAACGAAAAATAAAAATATTATAAAGTAATACTACTATTTAATACTCTAAATAGCCTTGGTTAAATTGGGTAAAAGGGTCGAGTGAAAAGAATTTCCACTAGAACAACAGTAGGGCGCACTTAGCCTCTACAAAGTGCGCTTAGCGTGTAGAAAAACAAAGAGTACTTAGCATGCACAGACCGCTCTCATCACGAGCAGGTCTTTGCAGAAGCTCATAAATACATCTGAATTTCAAGCTAAACATCCACTAACTAATATGAAACAACCGGCCAAACTGTCATCTAATAATAAAATCAATGAAGTCGCCACCAAACATTTTTTATCCCGCCAAAAGGGAAAGGTGAACATCGAGAAAACCTGAAGGGGTAAAATCACGGTCTGGCGACCGTGGAGATCAGGTAAGGGAGTCGGTTACGCGAAGGGAAGGTATTAGCACCCCACACGTATGTAGTACTCTACGAAATCCACTGTTGTTTGTTCTAATCTAAGGGTGTATAAAATATATGTCTAAAGGCTAAAAGAAAATGGAAAAAGGGAATGCATGCAAAAGAAAAGAGAAAATAATGTAGGGAAAATAAAAGTTGTGCTCGTTCAGGCCCTATCCCAATGCCTACGTATCTCTTTTAAGGAATCATAGCAACCATAGTTCGACTCAATAGTTTTGGTTTGTTTGTGTTTTTAGTTAAACAGACAAAAGTAGTAATCAAGATGGCAAAACATCAGATAAGATGACAAAACATCAACAACAATGACAAAACATCAAACAAGATAGAAAAACATCAGCAACAATGACAAAACATCAACAACAATGATAAAACATCAAAAAAGGACGACAATACATCACATGGCAACACAAACCTAGATAAGATGATAACATGTCATCATGATAGAAAAATATCGGATAAGATGATAAAACATCACACCTATTAATGATATCGAAAATCAAAGTAGGATAACAAACATATGCAATGGCGAAACATCGGCAGAAAGATAGTAAAATATCATGGAAAAGATGACAAAATATCACAATTTAGATGATAAAACATCACACCTAACAATGATATTGAAAATCAAAGTAGGATAACAAACATATGCAATGGAGAAACATCGGCAAAAAGATAGCCAGATATCACGACAAAGATGGAAAGACATCACAATTTAGATGATAAAACACAATACCTAACAATGATATTGAAAATCAAAATAGGATAACACACTTAAGCGATGGCAAAACATCGACACAAAGATAGCAAAATATCATGGCAAGGATGACAAAACATCAAAACTTAGATAATAAAAACATTACACCTAACAATGATATTGAGACTCAAAGTAGGATGACACACTTAAGTGATGGCAAAACATCGGCACAAAGATAGTAAAATATCATGGAAATAAAGGCAAAACAATTCAATTGATATGATAAAACATCACACCTAACAATGATATTGAGAATCAAAGTAGGATAACAAACATAATAAATGGCAAAACATTGGCACGAAGATAGAAAATATCATGGCAAGAATGACAAAACATTACAATTGAGATTCAGAACAGAGCCAAAAGGCGCACACAAAAAAAGATTGATTTGTATTTTTTTTACCATGAAGAAGGATTTAAGGTCATTAGAGATGTTTTATGATTTGCTAAGAAGAAGTTTTAGTCTTAAGATGAAATATGCAAAGAAAAGAAAACATCTAAGGGAGAGACTAACCTAAATCTGTTCCTATTGTTATCTGTTGTACCCCAAAATTTGCCGTCTCATATTTCTCAATACATTTCAAGTGAGGTCCTCAAATTGCCCAAGGAAGTCCAAGGGTTTACCAGACAAGCTCTCTCCTAAGGCAGTCTACCTCAAATTAGGGTTTCATATTGCATCAAGATACTTGAGTCCAAGGGATCCCAAATGCTCATCATTGTCCTAATATGTTATCAAGATCATCCATGTCAAGTTTCAAGCCTTGCAGAGGAAGTTTGCTCATTCAAATGCTCAAAGGTCTGAAAATCGACTGTGCTAGGGCAAAAGTCAACTGTGGCCCACATACAGTCAAACTTCAAGATTTTTGGTCAACATCCTCATTTTGAAGTATATTTAATCATTTGATCTAGGGTTGATCATGATTCATCAAGGATTGCTCACAATTCATCAAGAACCAAAAGTTGCTAAATTAGGGTTTTGCAAGAAAGGTCAACTCAACTTTGACCAAGCATAACTTTTTCATAATTTATGCGAAATGACCCATCCAAAGCTCATTTTGAATAGGATGAAATGCTATACAATCCATATTTATCTCCCAAGTTCAAAATATGCACTCACAAGAAGTTATGAATTTAGACATTATAGGTCATTTTGAAAAGTCAACAAAAACACCTTTTTTGTCAAAGCTTCATACATGAACATGGAATTCCAAATTGAGATGGGACGAAAAGGTTTGCTTAGATGACATCTCAAGCTTTCTAAAAAGTACAATAACACCTTCAAAGAGTCAAAATTGAGGAAGTTATGCATTGGTGAACTTGACCCTTTTTGCAAAATTGTCAAAAGTCAACTATGCCTCAAATTGCAATTTTTGCTAAATAGGCCTAACTTTTTGCACTTGTTTTGAATTGGAAACATGGTCCACGAGCCCTAGCCTTTTCCACTTGTTATTATCTTGTTTTTATTATTTATTTTGATTTTTATTTGAATTAAATGAATTTAAATCAAAACAAATCATGAGAAAATCCAAAACATTGAAATCTCAAGATTTTGCACATGTTTCAGGTCCTATATCCAGCTAGCATGAGATTGAATTCGTGTAAAGGCTTGGTGTGCACAAAAAGAATGAATTTGGCCTATTTTTGGAAACATATTCAAAGGAATCAAATCAAAAGCAAAAGCAATGATGGAGGACGATTGAGACCAGGTTTTCAATCCTAATTCATTCCTGAATATATAAGGAACAATTGCAGACCTAAAGCAAGGCTAGAGAGAGGCGCAAGAACCAGAACCAAACTTGAAAAAACAAGAAAAAGTGTTGAGTTGAATTCATACTTCCCGGAAATTACAAAGCCTCCTGATCATCCCAATCGCTTCCTGGGATCACCAGCAAGCAAAACCAATCAAGAACAAGCGGTTCCAGGCCCTGAAACCCACTGTAAGTCAGCCACGACTTTGATGTATTTTTGAAATCGAATTGCATGATTTTGGCATTGATAGCATGAAATAATCATATATTCTTGATCCTTGGAACATTTGCAAACTATATGTATTATTTAATTACGTTTTCATGAGTTGTATTGGAGTTTGCCATTATTAGGGTTTCTTGCTTCGATTTGGGATCTTTGTGTATAGGTGAAATCGGGCCATGAAAGAGGCACCATCGTGCTCAGCAGGTCCAGACTAATCCATCCATGGCCTTAGTTTTTATTTATCATTCTTGTATTAGATTTTGAGAATTACAGGACCTGTAGTTATGGACAAACGTCCGTAGATAAAAGTCTGTGACTTTTACCAACGGTGAAAGGAAGAAGACGACTAGCGTGGCAGCCTCTGATTTGCTAATTTGAATTTTGGCGCTTTCTCTCTCCACTAACGCCCATTATTGTATGTTATTTATTATTATTATCTTATGTACAAAGCAAACAACCAGCGCAGTTGGTAGTGGAGTGAGGGCAAAAGGCATCAGGGCCTGGGTTCGAATCCCAAGTCCCCTAATTCTTTCATAATATTTTTCTTTCAGTGATCATACGCGCACACAAGACCAAGGACTACCATACATCCGCATGATCCAACCAGCCAAGTGTCTAATTATCCAGATCTGATGGCCATCATTTGAGGGACCATGATACACCTGGTCAATGCAATGCATGGGATCTCAGAAGGTCAACGTGGACCTTTGTTTCTTGGGCCCAGATTGCTAGCAATGCACCTCTATATTAGTTTTGCAGGCCCAACTTTCTTTTCTCTATTCTTTTATTTTTCTCAATTAATTTACTTATTTCTTTTACTAACAAATTAATTTTTCCTTTTATCAAAAAATCACATAAAATCAACTTTTTCACCCAATTAGACTTAGGTTTACTTTTTATCAATAAATTAATCAATTTAGTTAGATTTTAATTTTAGGTAACTTTAATTTCTTTTTGTAAATAAATTAAAATTAATTTGAACAATTAGGGTTTTATTTATAACTTGATTATATTTTCCTTTTTCTTAAAATAACCAAAAACACAAAAAATAGGCCATTTATTTATTTTTATTAATTAATTTAAT